ATTCTGATCCACATAAAATAATAAAAATTTGTTATCATCAATTAAAATACGCTCTCCCAAAAATAATTGGTGACACAAGCAACGATAGCATGTGTCCAAAGGAAATCCCAAACATGGATTCTCAAACATAAAAAATCGGACGGTGGGTTATACTTTGATATGGGACCTAATTTACTCCTTGCTAAATTTACAATTAATATAATAGAACTTGGAGGGGAAGCAATAAAATTAACATCGCTGATAAATCACGCTCTTATTAGTCATGTAATCCGTTATACTGAAATTGATTTCATACCATATCCTCCAAATGTTATCCCACAAAGAAATAATATCTTTAACCTTTTCTTAGGGTTCAAGGCCAAGCCAGTATCTCAAATTAATTATGACCTTGTGAACCCAATTATTTGGCATATAGAAAATATCTGGTGTAATGGAGATAAAGTTCTTTCCACATATATTCTCAAATGGTTTGCGTTTCTAGTCCAATATCCAGCAATAATTCCTGGAACTATTCTTGTTTTGCGTTCACCACCACGATGTGGGAAAAATATCATTACTGATTTTATTCGAAAAAGTTTATTTGGTCCAGAACTTGTATATTCAACATCCGATCTCGGAAAAATATTAGGAAAATTCAACAGTCCTATTCAAGGACGCAAACTTATTATTATGAATGAAACAGGAATGGTTAGTGGAGAATGGCATAAGGCAAATGACCACTTAAAGTCTTTAATCACAGAAGATTATGTCTCGATTGAACGTAAAGGAATGGAATCAATTGATTGTGGTCATTTTCCTGGATTTATAGTATTAAGTAATCACGATGCCCCAATTCGCGTTGAACAAGGAGATGGTCGTGTTGTGTGTTTAGATGTCTCACCTTGATGTAAGGGTAATTTTAAATATTTTGGTCAATTGGGGAAAATTATTAACCATCCCGATACACCTGGATCTTTTATGACCTACCTACTTGATCAGGACCTTTCAAATTGGAACCCACAAGAAAATATTCCTAGCACCAAAATGAAAACAGAAACAATGCGTGAGCATCTTCCCAATCCCATTCGATTCATAATCGACCATATTTCGTCATGGTTTGAGGATAGAGTTGAGAAAACAAGCTGTACCATGTTATATCAAGAGTATCGTACATGGTGTGAAGCTAATGGTGAGAAATCATTCAGTAGCAATATTTTAGGAAAGAAGTTTTCACAAATTGACATTGAAAGAAAGCAGATTCGAATCGATGGGAAAAGAGAATGGGTATATATTTTCGACCGACCCAAAATCGTTACCAAACTTTGTGAATCATTAGGTAATATCGAGGAATTTTCTGACTTGTCTCAAGCCAATTTAGCTATTGATACCTCCACGAATATGCCCATATTTAACGTACCTGAAATTGTAACCCCAAGACCAGAGAAAAAAATAAACTCCGCCTCATCAAACACCGATCACATCAAAAAAGGTAGGGATTCATCACCTCCACCCATCACTAACATAACCCAGGATCTCTCCAATTTAATAATAGATCAACCAGAATATTCAGTTGCTTCGTCATCCAAGTCTATTGCAAAGCAATGGGACTTTGTCCCTACAGATATATCTCCGCCTCCTGAGATCGAACACATAGAATCAGTGGACGATGAAGTTGAATCTCCAGAAATTATCGAATTAGTGAATGATGAGCCAGAGATATCTCTTGACTTATCCACGAATGATGAGGAAGCAAAGCTTCGAATTTCCAATTCACCAAAAACCAGTAACGAAGAAGAGACAGAGTCTCGAATCTCCGATTCAACTCCCACCCAGATATCATATCCACCTGGATATCAAACCAGGGAGCAACGAGAGATACATCTTAGAGAATGTGCAGTTAAACGTGGCGAAAACCCAGATAAGTTCATTACTATTACTGAAAAAGATAGAGATTTGGCAAGAATTTATTATGATAAAATAATGGCAGATGCGGAAATAATTGAATTTGCACGAGGCGATGGGGCTGATCCAGAGAAATATATGGAATTATCCAGACGAGAAAAATTAATATGTATGGAGATTGATCTTTGGATGTATGAAGATAAAGGCGAACCCCGATCATATACATGTATTTATAATGATGAGGACTGGGCAAAAAATATAGCGATACTCCAGGAAAATGGGTATCTATGGTAAGGTTACTATATATATTAAGGAGTGAATAGGTGAGTTTTGTAGGTAGGAGCTTCGATATAGGAGATTTTTTTTTGCTCCTACAAACTAGTTAATATAAAAATTTCCAGATAAAAATATTCAATCCCCACCCGAAGTATAATCTTTAGTATCTTGCTGTCGCTTCAAAAAAGCCTGTACATCTTCTAACATTTTCCTACTGGTATTTTCAATCTGCTCCCTATTATAGGGTATTTTTAATAATTTACGAAGATCTTTGAGAGATAATTTTCTGTAATCGTCAACTAATACAACAGGCCCTCGAATTGGTGGTAAATCATCCCGTCCCATTCGTTGATATATAAGACGAGTCGCTAATGGATTCTGAGGTAAAGATTTAGCATAACCATCATCATCATATAATATAGCAAGATCATAATTATCCAAGTCGCAAATGGTAATATGCTGATTATAGGTACATTCTAGTAGGCGACAGATTTCTTCACTAGTATTATTAATTCTTTTTACTTCCGGAGGACCATTTACAGGAATATATATTCCACGATATATTGTCATGATAGATTGATTCGGTAAAATTTTAATCTTAATACCCATCCTCAAATTTAATTTTAAATATGAAAGTGAGAATAGAATAATATAACCACTTTGCGATTACAAATCGAAAATGCCTTGTAATTGGTTATTAGTCGGGGATATCCATTTCTGCAAGACCCCAGCAAAAGGGCAATATTGCGCTACCCATGCATTCAAAATTCGAAAGGGTGTAATAATTCCACAACCCTGTAAAGGATGTGGTCGAGGGACTAAATCGAGCCTTCAGCTTTGTGTCCCGTGTGGCCAAGGTAGGGAAAGAGCGTATAAATATTATAAACAGAAAAATAACCAATTAAACTTATCATTTACATAAGTAACAATCAACTATTATCATTTTCATAACTATATACCACATTGATACTATAGACAAAAATGTATACCAAAGAGCCGGAATATAACAAAGAAACGATTACCTCAGATAAGTTATTCAAATTAGCTAGGCGATCGAAAAAACCAAAAATCTATAACCCCAAAACGAACCGTATGATTGCAATTGATGGACCAGCATATAATCAATTGATATGTAATGGATATATGCATTGGGAAGAGGAAAAAGTTTTAGTCCCTCCAATTCATGAAAAATTAGTATTGGGTAAATGGTTTGCGTCCATATCTAATCATATTTGGGGTATTGTTGCAGAAAAAAGCCTCCTTACAAAAATCAATGGGAACGTAAGCTTGTTAGAAATCCTACTTAAAGCAAACTGGAATGAATTTGCTATATGTAATTTGTTAAAATTTTGCTGGAATCATAGAGAAACTCGGAAATGGAGAAATGATATACTTGCAAGATTCCTTCATCATCCAAATTTAACTCCATCAAAGCATAAACCGAACGCCTTATATGATTCATTCACCAAGGCAGACGTTCTAGAGCCAGAGCATATATTAATTCTAGCTCGAGCAATATACTAAAAAATAAACACAATACCCAATTAATATAGCCTGAGTCGCCACAACTCGAAGCTATAATTTTTTTCGTTATATTCTATGTATTGGTAAATTTCAAATCGACAGACGTGTATCATGTACCTGACATATACCATTCATTTTTTCCAGAACCTTTTTAAGCGATACTATATCTTCTTTGATGTCTTCTATATTTTTGGCTATCTTATTACGTAGAGCTATGGATTCTAAAACTTTCGATCTATTCCGTGCCTTATTCATATTAATATCCATTTCCCAATATAATTACATTAATCGCTACCCATTCAATTTTTGGGTATATATACTGACCTGGGATAATTAATTTCGATTTGAAAAAATATTTTTCATAGTTATAGTCCACACAATTATACCATAACAACAATGTCGAAAGTAGCTACAAATTTCGTAAATCAGTATAACTTAACCCCTCAGATGAGTATAGCTGAGCTTGGTAATTATACCGAAAAAATATGTAAAGATTTAAAAGATTATAAAGCTCGTGATCATGCTCGAAATAGAATCCAGAAGTTAGGATTTAGTAAAGATCAAACATATACTTTAATTCCTATCCAAACTTCCGGAAGACATGTTATAGGACGAGATCCAATTAAAAAGCTCGCTCAATATATCAAGGAAAATGAAAACAATCTTGAACCCGAAGAAATATATGAACTAGCATATAACGTAGCTAAAACAGCCAGCACCGTAATAGCCCAATCTTCACGTCTTAAATTGTTACGAAAAGAATTACGTAAACTTGATGCTGATTGTATTACAATAGAATCTATATATATCCCGGATATCACTCAAAGTTCAAATGAAGAACAAGCAATAAATCAAAAGCTCCGTGAAGATGAGGGATATGATTGTCCTGAATTCTTTTACTTGGAAAATGTCCAGAAAAGACTTAAGGATTGTAATACTGCCAATTCCCCCACGATGCAAAATTTAATGGATATAATGATAATGTTATCTATGAGGCCAGCGGATGTTGCAACTCTTCGAATCAACCACTATTCACCAAGTAATGAAGAATGGTATCATTCTGAATATTCTTGGTATTGTACTGGTTATGCGAAAAATAAAAATAATGAGCCTCGTCCATTTGTATCTATGGAGAAAGATCCATTACTAGCTAGAGAATTACTCGTTTGGATCCAGAAAGCAATTCCTAACAAATTCCCATTTTTAATGAGAGATAAAGACGGTGATGTGAATGTTCACCCTATTAATAATTTCCAGCTAATCTAGATATCCCCATATAAGTCGTAGATATCCTCAATTTCATCATATTCTTGTTTAGGTACTGGAATAATTGGTCTATTATTCATTATACCATAATGATCTGATGCTTCTCGTTTTATTTGGTGTCTTAATGCTAATT